TCAACAACACAAAGTAACGGTGATTACACTCACTTTTTTTTTTTAAAGGAGCTGGTCATAAATGGTACGTTTGTTATTTTGGAAATCAGAATACAAAATATGAAGACATCTGTGCTAAAAGCATGAATATCTAGCAGAATTTAATTTTTTAGGACTAGTACTAGTATTCTTAATACTATTCAGAGAAAATTCAAGCTACTTAACAAAGGTATTTATATTTGGAAAACACTGAACAGAAAACTACAATTTCTAATAGAGACTGAAGAAGTCACTAACCACAGTGTTCAAGAATGTTTTCAAGAGTCCTCGGGTTCTAAGGCTCAGCTCGAGACAAGTCTGTACTCTTGTCTACTGTCTCGAGTCTCTACTTAGCATTCATCATTTTTTGGAGCCTCCCTGGCTTGAACACAGAGCACACGTGGTCACCACCTCTTCAGTCCACACTGTGTAACACTTTATTAGCCACCATGCAACCAGGAAAGCCAGAGATGACACATGAATCTTCCACACTTCCACACTTTCAGAACTACCTGTCACCATTTCAGAATTACCTCTACACATCAATCCCTGCCTGTGGAGCATTTTATTTCCTTGGATATTGGAACCACTTTTCCACATGTTTCCAAGGGCAGAAACAACACCACTCCTTTTAGAAACCTGAGAACAGTGATTTTAAAAAAAAAAAAAATAGATGGAGTTCCAAAAGCATAAGTATATAAATGATCGCTTACTACGGCAGGGCTGAGCTTACCTGAGGACACAAAAGTAACATACACACATGTGATCACTTGTGAATGTACACGAATACACACTGAAGACATGAGCAGACCATCACCTCCATAAATTCCAGGGTCCTGCAGGCCCTCCCTCTGCCTAGGAATCTCTGCACAGACCAGGGACAGTTTCCTTCCTTCCAGGCAACCCTCCCAGTCATCTCCACCTCAATTCCCTCCTCTTCCATCTTTCACTCACTCTCAGAGGTGGGTGGTCTTATGTGTCACATTTATTTCTTTGGTCAAACAGTTGCCCTTGGGCCTGAGTTCTCCCTGAACTTCCCGCTTGTCTGTCCACATCTTTTGTTGCAGTTCTCCCCAGTGCCATGCTTCCCGAAGCTTCCACCTTGACTGGTTCCTTCTCAAAAACCTCCTTCCTTTTCTAGACCTATAGATACCCATTTGCTACCTTCGCACAGCAGTTCACTCTTAGTCTTAGTCTTAGTGCTGCAAATCCCATACCAAAGAGGAATAAAGTCCCACGTGCCTGTGCGGTGTCCTCATCCCCTCATGCTAGGTACCTTCCCCAAACCCATGTCTACAGACGCATCCACATATGCTGCTCTTCTGTTGGCTTCGTGTGTCCTTCACTTCTGTATCCACGCCAGGGTAACTCCCATATCATCACTTTACTGCTCAACAGAAGCTGACAGTCCTGTGAAAACCAAATGCTTTTATATCTGCCTCAGTGCCCCACCTCAACGTTTCCCCATGTGAGAGCCAACACACACAGCTCTTTATAATCCCACATCCCTCTATCTTTACAGGGATGAGCTCTCAGGGCTTCTGCCCATAGCAGGCTACTGGAACCCCAGCATATCACTTCATCTGGCTGACTACCCCATTTCCCTGCAACCCAGCAAATCCATTCTTGTTTATATTGCCATCAATACCATCTTCTCTGTAAAGCTGGGCCAACTCTGGGGGGGGGGGGGGGGAGAAAAGCATGATTCTATCCCATAACATGCTCATTACTTTAGGTCTTTCTATCTAAGATTATCATCCCCCTGGCAGCAAGGTGTATTATCAATGTCTCCCTAACCCCAGGTCCTGGAATACAACACATATTATCAAATGTTTAAAATATGTATAAATTTTATTCATATTGGCTGGAGAGATGTCTCAGTGGTTAAGAGCACTGGCTGCTCTTCTAGAGGTCCTGAGTTCAATTCCCAGCAACCACATGGTGGCTCACAACCGTCTATAATGTGATCTGGTGCCCTCTTCTGGAATGTAGGCAGAACACTGTATACATAATAAATAAAACTTTAAAAAAATTATTCATATTAACAGGAACAGACATGTTTAGGCAGGTATATTCCCAATCCTTAAGAAATATTTAATTCTAAAGTACAAGGTCCAAGCTACATAAGAAAGGAATATTGGCACCATTATAAATATTCATGTTCTTTGGTGGCTAAGGCTGTAGAATACTGTAAAGCTGATTTCTGGAGTTGGTAATTTTTCCTTTCTGTCATGCCACAGGCTTAGTTCTACTTTAGTATGAAACATATATTAATACAAAATTACCTACAGATTCATAGTTCGGTCTATTCTATTTTCAATCTATATAAGAGATATTCTTCAAAAGTTGCAACTAAGCCAGGCGGTGGTGGCGCACGCCTTTAATCCCAGCACTCGGGAGGCAAAGGCAGGCGGATCTCTGTGAGTTCGAGGCCAGCCTGGTCTACCAAGTGAGTTCCAAGAAAGGCGCAAAGCTACACAAA